AATCTGTGTGCACATCTACCCATTCATACAGCGCTCTACTAGAGCTCTACAAAAGCTAATTGAACAAATCATTCTAAAGACAATAATCAGAGCTTTATCACATTCAAACACCGATGGGACACACATCGGAGGCTATGAGGGGTTCAGCGTCTTGCCCAGGGACACTTCGGCATGTGACTGCTGGTGGATTCGAACCCCCAACTCTCACATTGGAGGACGACTGCTCTAACCACTCAGTCACAGCCGCCCCAAACATAACTATAAACAACATGAAAGATCCAGTGACCTTTTCATGTCCCTGACCTGTATGCACTTCAACCAAGTTGTATTTTTTCCTCTCAGGAGGTTGCTGCGGGGGAGCGCAGCAGAGAAGGACGGCTGCTCGAAGAACCTAAAGCGATGCTGTTCAGAGGGAACACCTTCAGCCTCCAGGTGTCCATCCAGGATGTCCCACGTTTACTCTGGAGCATCAAGCCTTTCACCACCTGCCAGGTAGGTACTCTCTGTCACTTACTGTATCAGCAAACATGTTTACTATGACTCCATCTGGGTTATGATTCAGATTTTAACCTGGAAAAACAGGTTGGGTTGTACCAACTAGATATAGTTGAATTTGGGAGAAGGAAAAAATATATATTTTTGTTTTCTTACCTTCACCTACTTCTTTTACAATTGTGCTTTTCCCTTAGTTATTTTTTTTTTTATCTTCTGTCACCAAAAGGCTAAGTTTGATCATTATTATTATGGATCTGGTCAGCTGGTCTATCAACGCAATTGATACAATTTTCTCGACTAGAAGACAGGGTCCAGGAGAACCCTCATGCCCTTAAGGGACACACGCAGTTGGATATGTCATGGATTCCTAGGTTGTTTGGAAGATGCCGTCTGTGCAGTCTGTTGAGGACGTAGAAGACAAATACATAATTGGATTTATGATAACAGGGTTTCTGCTTTTTGGAATTGGTGGATACCTGGGATATCCACTAATTAGGAAGGTGTCTGCAGCAGTTTTGGCAAGTAAAGCTGCCCGCCTTATGTGAAGGATTACTCCATGCTTCGAGCTCTCAAACTAATATTTGCGAGCTGAAGCGTAAACTGGATGTGATTTCTGAGAATCGTGGGCCACTTGCAACTCCTAGGACTCACCGGCATGGAGGAATAGACCTTGGAGAAGGCTAAGAAGCACGGGCCAGCAGAATGTCCACAAATCCGGCTGTTTGGATTTGCCATTGAGTGTACCAGCAGAACTGAAGGCAGACATGAAATCAGTAGAGTCGGTCTGCCCAAACAATTGTTGTTTATCTGAATTTGGCCTCCCCACTGGCCTAAGATTGGCCAATTTATCTCAAATTGCTCCTGGTGGATACGTAAATTAAGAAGCTCTGCTGCTAAACATAGACACTGATAGACACTGTAACATCTTCCTCAGGACTAAGGAAACTATCTGGAAGTGTTCATGGACAATCTCACTGTCTTCTTGTCTTCCTCCTTCCCCCAACCCCCTGCAAAATGTATTATGTCTCTCATCCTGATGCATGCTCAATAATCCAGGTAGAAAAATCCAAAAAAATTCAATCTGGTCCTCTGGACATTCATTGAATGTCCAGAGGACCAGATTGAACATTTTTGGATATTATGTCTCTCTATGTTACTTTTGCTGAGATAGATATTTTTTTGTTGTTGCTTCCTTACTCCGCGCCCTGTGTCAAGGACACAATGTGAGATCTTTTTTATACATTGTCTGTTTTTATACATTTTCTTGTCTAAGCTATAATGGCAGCGTTTCCTAGAAGCTTCAGCCCCAGTACACTTCTGTCTACCCTTCAGACGGCTGTACGGAACGCACTTTTACTGTACTTAACTGTGCAATGACAATAAAGTTGATTCTGATTATGTTTTAGCTTTTGTCTGTGTGCATGTGTTCCTGTCTGTTACCAAAATATTTCATTCTGTCAGTTTAACAGATATCAAGCTAAAACTTGATGTAACTCTAGCTGTAGCTCTACTCATTGAGCAGGATCTTTGGTTAAATATTTAGCGTTAACTGTCAGAGTTATGCCATTTTTCTGTTAGCAAAACTTTTTGTGAACCACTGGACAAATTTTAATTATTATCTTTACAAAGCAATCACTGGATCTACTGTACATGTACGACTGATTTAACTTTTATTCAGCACACAAAAATGATAACTCTGTCAGTTGTTGAGCTCAAACATGGTGTGGTAGTAAGTGAGTCAATCACCACACGTATGCTTTGAGCACATCATGTGGAATCACATATAACGTTATTTTCAAAGCTTGATCAAAATGGTAACAACTCAGGCTTTTTTTTTTTTTTTCAACTTAAAATAATTTTGGTTTGAAACTCTGGCAAGTAAGTTGATGAGATTTTTTTTTTTTGGTCACATCAAAGCTAAAGGGCAGCAGCAAGGGCACAGCAGGAGATCATCATCACAAGCTTAATTATGACCACCCGGCAGGAATATACACACAAACACACACATCATGGTTATCCTCCTGGGTGCTGCATTTTCTGCCCTGCCCTGTGATGTTTATCCCAGCAGCAACGTCCTATTAGTAAAATTAGCCCAGCACAGCACCTTCAGAACATCAACATGGAGATGTTAGAGCTGGGAGAAGGTTGAAGCAGGAAAATAACTGAAGGCCCTCACTCAGACACTCTTCACAGCTAAAGGAGGCTTTTCAGAGAGGATGTCCTTCTGCATGATGGATCTGAAGAGACGATGATTCATAGGTAAAGCACTGGCATGACCCGTTCTCTCTGCTCCATCGTCTGGGTCAAACGAGTAGGTACTGACAGCTAAAATGGATCCTTCAGGTTGCTTTAGCTCTCGGTTTTTTTGTGCATCAATATTTGGAGGAAAAATTGTGCACCATGCAAATATTAAAAAACCAGTGCTTTCGTTCTAGAATCCCTTTACAGTTTTATGTAAAGAGGGAAATAAACGCTGCAAAAGAAATCAAACAGGCCAGAAACTGAAGTTGAAGGAATGCTCATCGCCATTCATGTCAGAGTTTTAAACAAACACAATCTAATATTGATAATTAAATGATAAAGTTTTAGCAATTTTTGGTTAAGCCGTTAAAATGTTAAGCACGATCTTGTGGTATTTTAGCTAATATCTGTCAAATAGACTGAATTACAGCCATTTTTATGTTATCTAAAGTTGATTAACTGTGGTGGTCGTCTTGAATTAAACTGACCCCAGAAGTTAATCTGCTGTAGTTGTTCAATGGGTAAATACTTTCCAAGAGTTTCTAAAAATTGTGGTTCATGAGATATTTTGCTAACAGACAGTGTTAACTCCAGCAGATATTGACAAAAATTTAGACAACAATGTTGTGCATTACTGTATATTATATTTTATTTTCCGAGCAGCCAGACTTTCAAGTAACCCAACGAGCCCCTTCACTGTCCATTTTTAAAACTCTTTTAAAAACATATTTATACTCTTTGGCTTTTAGCACAGACTGAATTTGCTCTGCACCATTTTTATTGTTTTTATTGATCTTAATGTTTTAACAACGGTTTTATTTTTATGTGTTTATATTTTCTTGATTTTATATGTACAGCGCTTTGTTGCAGCTGTGGTTGTTTTAAAGGGCTTTATAAATAAAGTATTATTATTATTCCAACAATTTTCAGTGAGGTCATCTGGACAGTTTCTTTTTTTTTTTTGTGCGGTCATCTGGACAGTTTCTTTTTTTTTTTTTGTGCTGAAACGTTTCACCTTCCATCCAGAAGGTTTCATCATGACTGTTGACGAATAAGAGGGCTGGCACCGGAGGAGGGGGCGTGCCAAAGACACCATCTTAGCACCAACATAACTGGTTTGTTCCACTTTGGAGTAAGCTGTTTGGGGGAAGAATCAGTTTTGTGTTGTGTGTTTCCTTGACTGATGAAGCCTTCTGGATGGAAGGTGAAACATTTCAGCACAAAAAAAAAGAAACTGTCCAGATGACCTCACTGAAAATTGCTGGATTGTATACCTGGATTATTGAGCATGGACTTTGTTGGTATTATTATTATTATTATTATTATTATTATTATTATTATTATTATTA